AGTTAAAACGTTCCCAATCGTGTTAAGGGAAAAGCTCCATTTGCAATCGTATATCACCCGTATATCGTTACACTACCTATGTGATTTGTGTATAAAAAATTAGCCAATCTCGATATTTTTCACACTGTATTCTAAACAAAAATCATAGGATTTCCTAAAACATAATTTTTACACAAACCTTCAGAGAAATATTAACATTCGATACTAAAATTTAGTTTATTTTAATCATTTTGTTATTATTATTTATTGTGCAATACGTAAAAATCTTAACGTTGTCTTTGGGTCCATTTCAGCACTTATGTTTATGTAAATATATTTTATAAACAATGAATTTCAATCATATTATTGTTATATTAAGTTTATATAGGTATTTAGTTTATGAATCTAAAGTCTTTTTATCTTATACATTGCATATAATTGTTCAATTTTATTATAATATTACGTATACAATTTAATGAATAATAAATAATGACGACTATTTATAAGTATATTATAGATTTATAAATTATAAATTATTTTTATTAATAGAAATCTAAATATACTACATTCATAGTAAAGTATTCTTTTATTTTTGAGCCTTCCATAATGGCTCATTTCGTTAATAGATTTAAAATATGCTTTGATCTCAAAGTAAGTTAAATAAACAGTAACTACTGTATTATAACCATTGTTTGTTCGGAGGTAGATTAATTCAATACCATTTCTTATCTCTATATTTATAGATAATAACAAATTGTGAACTCTTGGCAATATAATAGACAGTTATCTATATAATGTCTAAGATATGTACATTCCAAATATCATCCATAGTTTGCCAAAAGGTGGTTAATAATGATTTGAAACATCAAGTATCGCTACTATGATTATAGAACCCTTTGTTCTATATAAGAACAATCAAAGGATCTATGGTTCTTTATGCTATTAAATTCACTGTATATCACATAAAAAATAAAAAAAACGGTTCTGGTAATAATTAGATCTAATTCGACCTGCGTAGACAATCAGAAACTATAAATACGACTGTAATCGTACTTTCGTGCTTAGTTTAGTCAAGGTAACGTGATATCTATGTGGTACATATTCAATATCATATTTTTATTACATACAACTGAAAGGTTAACTTAAATTCTCAACAAGTATACTTGATAAATTATATTTAAAAATAATATAGATACAATAAACACCAATTAATAATACACCAACAAGTCGTATTTATAATGAGTCTGGGGTCAGCAGTCATATTGACAAAATATCTATAGTTTATTATATATCTATTATCTATATTATATTACAAGCATTTTAAATATAATAAAACCTATTGCTGGTGTAAACACTTTATGCTAAAAAAAAGATAATTCTCAATTTCCTAATAAAAGTTTATTTCGTTTTTGATTTAGAAGTTTTTTAGCAAATTAGCTTATTATTATAGTATACCCATCGTTTTTAAAATGTTTCACTTAGTACGTATAATCTAATATCAAAAATTAATATAATCGATTTGTTATACAAACATCAGAAAATATACCCATAATAAGAATATAGTTTTATATAAAAAAAAAATGATATCAATGCGAGATCGAAATCGATAACGAATGATCAAAAATCGAGCACTAATCGAAACAACCGACCAAACATAACTATCATGTTTTTAAATGAGTTTTTTTCTATTATATCAACTCTCTCTAACAATATACTACTTCTACATTTTATTATTTTATACTATCGTAACAAAGTCGTCAAAAACCTATAAGAATATATTTATACGGCCTCCCTTTACATGTTCACAAAACAATAGAAACGTATATAAAGCATATAGAATAAACAAGTAACGACGTTAAGCAAAACGAGCGTCGCTGTTGAAATACGATTTTTCTGTTTATATATTATAAAATGTATGTAAATACAAGCACTTGTATTATTTTAAAATAATCAAAAACAGTGGAGAGAGAATAGTGAGGATTAATCGATACCATAGTCCACTACAATCATAATACATTTTTTTCTTTTCGAAATTAATTCTCTAGCAAAGTAATTTATTTTAATTTCCCAATTATTAATCAACTACAATATTATAAGAGAAATAAACCAACATTAATTACAAGAATAATCGTACACCAGTAAAATTTTCGTCAATATGTTTTAAACATAATATATTTTGCGTTGGTGTCGAATGCCGGTAAAGGGTTAAAATGTAAAACTATTGGTTAAAGTGTTATCCATCATACGTATCTGTTGTAATAGGGTTAGCGGCTGAATGTAAAAAAATAATTGACTTTCGAATACACTATATAGCTATAACCTGTAGGAACCATTAATACTTAATAGATGAACAAAATATTAAAATAATAAGTAGTTTATATTTTAATCAGGCTCTAGAGATTTTCCAGGATAGTAACTATATACTATATTATAATAGGTGGAAACTCGTCGATTCAATCCGAACTTGCAAAACATTGCAATGGTTGATTACGCAATACGTAAATTATTACTAAGAAGGCTGCGACAATGAAGCGGAATACGCTCGCGTCTAATGACTCGCTCTCAATGTTTCTTTTCGGTTAATTTGCATAGACCTCGAGCTGAATTTAGAAAGGGTTATCATGTACGGGGCGGGCGCGTACGTGTGCTTTATAACGGATGATCGCCACCAATAGTATAACTGTATATACAACTACAACAGCGAGTGTTCATACAGAGTGATCGTATTTACCCCCAACTAGCGATAATTTGTGAAAGTATTTTCTGCGAGTGATAAAGCTATGTTAAGATGAAGGTATTTTTTTTATTTTTTTTTTCGTCTTGTAATTACATCAACTGTGTTTTGTTACATTATATTATTTATTTCGTTTTTAAACTGATCGTTTTTCTCTATAATTTAGGTAATAATACTTCTATTGAAAAATTACTCTACAGAGAAACATTAAATTATAAATCTTTAGTTTTTATTTAGTTTTCAGCATTATGGATTCATGATCCGAGAGAAAAAAAATTGACGAAAAGGGAGTATTTATCAAATACATTTAAAATTCTTTTTGTTCTCAAGTAGAAATTCTTAAATTCATTCTAATTTAGCTGTACAAATTAAAATTGATTTCTTTCGCATAAAACATATAGAACCAGACCATTAAATCTTGTTAAAATAGCAAAAATGCTCAATGTTTTTTTTCCGTTTAATTTAAGTTCTAGGAAACCGAGTTACAGATTGTTCACATATTTAAATACTTAAATGCAATAAATTTAATAATGATACACAAACATTTCCACATATAATTCGAATTAACTCTCCAGGTCAAAATACAATTTATGTAAAACATTTTTAAATAATCAAATAAACTAAAATCATTCAAGAAATAATCCCACAATGATAAAAATAAAAACTAAATTCAATCTTGGTGAACTTTCACGAATAATTAACAGGACAATGATAAAATGATCACTCCGTATACAATATTATAATAAATAAAGCTAATATATTCATTAAAACGCGGTTCCCATCCGCGCCGAGCATGGATTAAAATGTTTAAGCGATCAAACTCGACAACGCGTACACAACCGAACCCACCAAACTAGTAATAAAATATACAATACCCAAAACAATGTAATATCGTACACTAACCGGAGTATAATAAATATTATAAGTTACAACAAAGCTCATCTTCGAAGAACCCCCGAAAAACCGTTCTGTGCGTATCTTAAATGCCTAATATGCGAGATTTAAATTGTAAATAAGAATAATATTATAAGCATAGCATTACAATATAAATAAATAATAATTATTAAAACCATTTTAGGGGCAAACCCGTTTTTACCCGAAATCGACACTTTTGTTTTCGTGCTCATGAGACAATCTAGGATTCACGTTTTAACCATAAATTGTAAATAGTGATTAATTAAATTATTCCATACATTTTTGTCACCACTTGCTTGTGGCATTTCAATTCAAAATTGAATGATATATTTCTTCGTGCAACTATTTTTATTTTATTTTTAATTTGTTGTTGTTTAAAATTGTCTTTATCATTACAATAATTAAATAAATGCTCGCACCTACTTGACTAATTTAATTTTTAACTAAATACATAACATATATCTATAATTTAATGACAGCATGTTCTTAAAAAGTTATGATGATATCTGTGATATTATTTTAGGAATATTGAATTTTTTCGATCTTTATTGTATTATATTATTCTATAGAACACAATACTTATTAAAAATAGTAATATTATATATATAATAAAACTATGGACAATAAAAAAAAAACATCGTTATTTGTGATAATACATAATTTAAATTATGTCACGTATTTTAAAGTCCATTTTCAATATTTGTTAGTTTTTTATAAATTGTAGTAGGTACCAAAAATTTTATCAAATCAATTTTCCTTTTATATTTTACGCTGATACGAGTTTAATGAATATGAATTCAGAGAAAAGAATTCTTTGGTTTTTAAGATTTTTAATCATAAATTTAAAACATCCTAGTACCTAGGTATATCCCTATAGTGTCCGTCCATCCGTCCGTGAATTACCAGTACATAGTTTTGACTATTGATACTTAAATATTAATGTATTATCTATAGTTTCTAATATAATTATGATAACTTGTTATTTTATACCGGTTTTTTTTTAAGTAAATTTATACAAGATAAAATTAAAAAATAAGCACCAAAATATATAGAATACCAAATTCTTTTTAAATCGTATATTATGGAATCATAGCTTATTACATAGTATTAAAATACGTTTAAAATCCAGAAATAACGCACACTTGTAGAATAAACAGAATTTGTTTTTTTTTATCAATCATTGTTCAATTTTTTGAATATTTTAAGATTTCTAAAATATTTTATTTTAAAGATGACAAATATTTAAATATTATTTTTCAGCAATAATCATATGTACCTATACGTTTTTAATGGCTATTCTAATCAACTGTTATCAATTAGAATATATTTAAACTATATTTTTATCATAATGTAAAATAAAAAATTTTTTCAGGTGCAAATTGAAAAAGAAGTCTCACTATTAATTACTGTATCCGGTATTAAAGTATGCAGTCCAGATGGCAAGGTAATTATAATATTATTATATTATACACTAACAAGTGTGAGTCACACTTATAAATAGACATTGATAAGTAACAACAAAAAGTTTTCCTTATTTATGACAATCATCTGTTTAAAACATAGGTATGTTTAAACAATTTACGACTGACATGTTTTATTACCATCACTATAATAAGTTATAATTCTTACGAAAATAAAATGTATTAAATTTTTTCAACGTTTTATTATATATTCATATACTTATATATCAATATAATATATCTAGTCATAGCCCGCAGTAACGAATATGTCAGTTATATCGAAACTCTATCAAGATTCAAGATGATCGACTACCATCATAGTTCTATAAACCAATTACAAATATATAAACTTAGTAGAAGAAAATAGGAAATTGTTCAAACAGATAAAATATAAAGCCTATAACCTATCCCCCTGAAAAATTTTTAAAAAAATAGGTCCTCAATATATTGTTCATATTTAATATATAAAAATATAAACTAACATAATATCTAATCTTATAAATAAGTCTGAAACTATATTTTTTATCTTACTTTAAATTGATTTTGTTCGAAGAAGAGTTAACAAAAGTGATGTACACAACTAAATACAGACTACATTTTCATTGCATTATTTTTCTCTTCTAGTAATAAAATAACTAAATCTAGAAATTTTAGTTGGTAAGAAATAAATAATACCATAAATTCTCGATGTACAGCAAAATTATATTTACGAAAATATACGAAATAAAATTATGATGAAACAATAAACATATCATTACCACATACAATTATTATTCTCATTACTCATAACAATATTACTCATATCATTAAAATATATTATAATTATCGTGAATTTTAGAACGATACAGTATAATTAAAATAAAAAATAAAAATTCAAACGGGTGCTCAATTCACTTTGGTCATATAAATACAAAATTAGCGGTATGTTAAGAATAAATTGAAACAGCAACACTAAAATTATTCCAAAAAAGCTGGGCAAGTTTGCACTTCCTGATATTTCTTCAGACATTTTTTTTTACGCATGTATACATTTCACTGACCTCTCTGTAGAATTTTTTGTGTAATCGTATAAAATAAATATTCTCTTTGTTTAAGAATTCACTATTTTTTTGGGTACAGTTACCTAAAAGTTATACTATGTATCATTTAAACAGAAAATACTAATATTATGTATTATATCAATGAAGATTGTATATCTCAAAAAGAAGGAAGATGAAAAAAAACGTATTTTTTATTCGTTTAGAAAAAAAAAAAAATGATCATATAATAATGTGTAATATTTAATGCATTAATGCTTTTTACGTGCCTACCTACACCTTAAGCTGTAGAATTTTATTTTATTTTAAGCCAATTTGATCAAAATGTTTTTTAATCTATAACAGGGGTGGCCAGCAAGAAGAGACTTACGAGCCACCCAATATATTAATAAATATAGAAGACCCAAAATGAAAAAAAAATTCATATTACTGTATGTATGTGATTATCGTAAAAAAAGATAATTAGATATCAATTGTAATAAAATATATAAAATGCGAAAAATATATCTATATGATAATAATTTAAAATTAAAATAGATACATATTTAAATATTATATCAAAAACACTTTCTTTTTGTACATTTTTTCTATAAATTGAAATTTAATAAAATATTATACTTCTTCAAAGTTCAAATACATAAATTCATAAATTCATATTGAAAGTAATTTTTTTGTATTAATGTTTGTATCTTACGATAAAATTCGAGCCATATAAGTTTATGACAAGAGCTGCAGTTTAGTCACCCCTAATCTATAACTTATTGTCTAATAATGATAAAAAGTAAATTTTTAAGTGACAGGTTATCGGTGTATATTATTATAATTTTTCATTTGAAAATGTACGTAGAAAATAAACATTTGCAAGCTGTTTGATGTTTATATGCATTTTTTTAATCCAAAGTTATAGTTAATTTGATTTTGATCGAATTAAATAATTAAGGCTCATTAACCTAATGTGAATTAAAAATGTGTTTATTTACCTAACTCCAAAACTAACTTAATTTCCATTAACGACTGCATATATATGTATATAGAACTTTAAACTTTATTTCATAGAGGCATTAAAACAGTTTGAAATCCGTGAATACACGGGCTTTTTTATTTATTAAAAATTTGAATTATTTTACTTACCGGTAAAAATCCAAATATTCATAGATCTAAAACCGTTTTAACGCTAACATAATTATGTATACCTAATAATAATATATACACAATTTTAAGTAATTAATAACGATTAGTTAAGTATCTATTTATTTATTAATGATGTACGTATATTATTAATTTATAAAAAGAATACATGGATATTTTCAGAGTTGCCCGATTGCGGCCCGAATACAGGTAGTCGTATTTTATCCCAAATATAAGTATCTCGATTGCGTCCAAAGACGTATTGGTTCACAAAATACCTTATAATTAATAAAATAAAGTCAATATTTTAAATACTGTATAAATATTTATTGGACGTATTTGTGTTTGAAATTCAAATTTTTATTATAATATTATGAAGTACGTCGATATACCTAAATTATTATAAAATAATTATAAATAAAAATAATATTTAAACACATGGCAAGTATACGTCCGATATTTTTAAACCCGTGTCATTAATCCATGAAAATCTTGTTCGTGAAATAAAATAATAATGATCAAAATCATTGTAAAAGCTCAGAATATATGCATTCCTTGACTCGCTTAAAATCTTAAACGTAAACAAATAAATATTAAATATTTTGCGAAAAAAAAAGAATTGAGTGATAGGCAAAAGCTATATTGATCCAACGGCAAGATAACCTGCAAGAAAAATATTAATCTCACGCTCGGAATCGTGGAGAAAACCCAAACTGAAAACAGTTTTGGAATTTCATGTTTAAATATAACACCCCCAATACATCAGGACAATTTTTAACGTCCACGTTGACTATATTTATTAACGGGCGTATTATATATATACACATAAAATCTAGAGGAATAAATGGACAATATTTCGTTTGAAAATCGCAAGTTGTTCAATTCCATCGTCGCCGCAATAAATTTAATCCCAAGCACACTCGATATATGTGTAAAGTACACATATTATATTACGTGGTTTGACTACGGATATTCACTATAAATACATATATACGATGAATATGAATGAAACTGACGGTGAAGGGACTATACAATGGGTGGATGAATTTAGGAGAGTGAGAAAGGTGGTAGTGGTTGAACGTTTAACTACATAATCCGTGCCAAAACTCTCCTCACCCACTGCTATTACGCCGGTTTTTCCTTACTACTTTGGCCAAGGGTTGGATATTTCTCCGAACAGACTCACCCTACCACGCGCCACCGACAATTTTATGGGGTGAGTACAAAACTTTGGCGTCTCTTGATGCCGCTAATTTGATTTTCACGCTCAGACCGTTAAGGAAACTGCCAAAGTGTTACAACACTACTCACGCAGTGATATCTCCAAAATATGGTCCTATATATATATCACAACCATGAACACGCAAAGTTTTTGATATTTGGTGGATGCCCCCCCCCCCCACTCGGTGGTCTCCAAGTTGCGTTTGTTTATAAGAAAAAATGCATTTCAACGGTCATTAAAGTTTGAATCCGGCACTTTAGCTAATAAAATAAATCTGTCCCAGAACAGATAAGAAACAACTAGACGGGGTATAATCGATCAATCATAAGCGGCCACCAATTTCATCGTACCATTATCATAAGTAGCGGTGGTGGTTGTAGATATTACTATATATTATGAATTATAATTGTCTCCTGAGAACATCGTCATTTTTGTCCTTGTCGATCGATGACCGTCGAAATGCGTCATATTGCGCAAGAGAGGTGAATAATCAGCAAAAAAAAAAGTAAAAATTAAGTGTCCATTTTCCATAAAGCATTTTTTGATTTGATTTTATTTATTATTTTTAAAATTTGGGTAAACTATAAAAAAATGTTTTCATTGTTATTAATTTATATATCAATTATAAAGCAGCTGTATGTATTGTATAATGATAAAACAGACTGCAGCCTTTCATTTTATTTCTTCGTTATCATCAGCTATTGCACTTTATATCAATAACGACTTAAAAATTATTATATATCATATATTTATTATTTATATATATTAAATTAGTAAATAATCGAAAAAAACATATCAATACGCAATAATTTGATTATCACGATATTGTATTATCCTTTGGTATACATATTTTATACCATTTTAATCACAAAAATTCATTATTAAAATAAAGAATAAAATATTGATAAATTTGCACGCTTAAATTTATGAATACTTTACTATACAGATTTCTATGTAAACGATATCATACGCATATTAGTAAAATATATAATAATTGTTGAATTTATTTAAAAACATAATACGAATATTTATCCAACTAAAAATGTTTTATTTTCATTTAAGCATGTTTATGTCTTTCTATTTGATAGTGACTACTTTTTAATTATTATCTGACAACAATATAATCATACATATATCACTATTTAATTATTTTTTATTAATTCCCAGATAGATCTTTTCAATAATAAAATCATCGAAACCTAAAGGGAATAAACTCTACACCGTGTTCACTAAGTGCTTAATTTTTTATCATACAAATATATTTGAAAAGAACCTTTTGGTTCATTATTTATTTTATTACTAAACCTATGAATTCGTTGATCATTATAGATTACTACTCAAAATTGATAAATCACTGATCATTAAAATCCTAAAAATTAAAATTCAACGAATCAATTTTCCTTAATAGTAACTCTTGTAAAAAACAATTTTATAAAATTCACAGATGTTTCAAATTGTTTTCATTATAGAATTTTTAATTCATGTTTTCATAATTTGTGATTTATATCATTTTAAATAATCGTTAAGGATTTTTCATACCCAAACTTGACAGAGAATTGCATACTTAAAATTAATTCAATTTATTATACCTTGTGGT